GCTCACTGGTGAGTTAGCCGATGGATGAGTGTTAAGCACATCAGGCTGGCAGCTGTATGGGCATTGCACTATGGTAGTTGTTATTTGCACATTGTTAATCATGGGCAATGCATCCTTACATTGTTTAACTGTGAGGTGCAGCGGCGCCGGATTCATTTCAGAAGTGGGGGGGGCCAAAAAGTGCGTTTGTATGTGACATACTTGCCAACACTCCCGATTTTCGCGGGACCGAGACTCCCGTTTTCCTCCCGGGGTCATATTTATCCGGCATTTCTCCCGATTTCTGACTAAATCTGATTTGTTTCATTCTAACATAACGCACCAAGTGTTACTGTTTCCACTCGGACTTCAATGCAGCTACACCATTTTTTGGTTTCCACGGTAACGTGTCTCTTTAGTAGCGCGAGCAAATGAAAGTCTAAGAGGGTGTTCAGGAGGAAGATAGTCAGAGAAAACAGAACAAGAATAGACAACTCAACCCTCTGTTCACTCCTTTCCTGTAAATTAAACAGGTCCAGCCCACACACATGAAAGCGCAGTTGCTCATTCCATCTCTTCTTTTTTCCTGCTACGCTCTTGTTTGACAAGCTGAATGTTGACTGGTGTTTGACTGAAGTAAGCTCTGTGAAAAGTTCCAGTTATTAACTCGGTATTTACAAAGCTGTCATCTCCACATTTGGAGAAAGTTACAAGCCGTTTGACAGCAGCAAATCTGCATATTTCACAGAAGACCCGTTTAGTGGTTTTGCAAAGAATTAATCACTCTCTGTTTTTGTAGCCTACTATTCTGCATTGAAGTACCTTTCTCTTTGCCCAAATAAGCTTTTATTTGCCCGTCACAATGTCCCGACAACAAACCTCCACGCAGTCGGAACCAGCCTGTTTCGGTTCAACGATGCCGCGGCGGCGGTTTTGACAGCCTCTGCGGCCGCAGAGCAGCTGCTTTTGGATTCATCTGGCTGCGCTGGTTCTATGGTTAAAAAACCGAATTATAAACCCCTTGTTTTTGTTAAGGCCATAGCTAATCTTTCCCCGATCCCTTAGAGGAGAAAGGTCGTCAGATATGAGGTTTTACACAGAAGTCCAGTTACGCTGACTACAAACTACCCGTCGCCGTCCAGTGAAACGTAGTCCGATTTATTTCGCGTCCCGCTGTATTGTCCTTTCTTAATACGATGTAAAATTAGGTTAGTTGTATCCCTTAACAAAAGGTGTGGTAAGTTTACGATAGGTACATTTAAATGTTGGTTATGTTTTCGAATCTACACAAATAAAGAATGCAACAAATGCAATAAACAATGCAACAAAGACACACCCAGTCGGCAATTGGAATTTCTTATCTATGTGAACGTTTGTACAGTCCTGTTCTTGGTCGCGTGGGGAGCCCCGCTACTTCTTTTTGTTTTATGAGAGTTTGATTTGACTTTAAGTTGTTTGAACCTTACCAGGTAGGTAGGACTGAGCGTTGAGGCCTCGNTGATGGGATGTGCAGTACCAAATATGTAAAGCACTTTTTTGTTAATGTATAATTTGGTACGACAGAGGATTTTTGTTTTATTCCTTATATGCAGCAAATCATACATTAACAAAAAAGTGCTTTACATATTTGGTACTGCACATCCCATCATGCCGTTTATTTTTTTACCTTTAAAAGCTCTCCAGAGTACCATTGTTTAACACCACACAGTTAAACAATGTAAGGATGCATTGCTCATGATTAACAATGTGCAAATAACAGCTACCATAGAGCAATGCCCATACAGCTGCCAGCCTGATGTGCTTAACACTCATTCATAGGCTGACTCACCAGTGAGCAGAAAGCAGTGGGTTCTATATGAACAATAAAGTAAATAACCTTTCACAAACAGGTATTTCATAACTGCTTACAGTGAGGAAGACATTTAAATTATTATTGGCCGTCACAGGCTGCTGTAAACTAAACACCACTCTCTCTCCTCACTGAGTGATTTCACTCATATGTCTAACTTTCAGGTTTCTCTTTTCAGCCGCAGACCCCATGTCGCCTCTTTATGTGCGTCGCTAAGTTCCTCGAACTACTTGTGTACTTTAAAGCGGCTCGGCATCGTTAACAATTTGCGAGCGATTTTTCAAGTTGACCGTCTGTAGTATATAGTGCCGCGCACATATACCATCAGGACGTTACTGATGGGGTGCGGCTGCGGAGTGATACTGTGTGTATGCAAGTCCGCATCTAGGACGGATCTATGTATCATGGCTGTAGACCTGTTCAGTAATAAAGATACCTCATACAAAGGTCTACGGATACCTTATTACTCTCCATGACCTGCGCTCAACTATATAGCAGAAAGGACTATGACACCGTCTTTCTTGAACAATCCGAAGTGTTGCCAAACGTTTGATTTGGAGGTATTTTTCGGTGCGCTGTGTTTCTCTTTCTCCTCAACTTCCGTGTGTGTTGATAACTGAGACTCTCGGCCTCCGTAGTGGCGAAGCAAATATCAAAGATCGTCTCTGCTGAGCGTTGACAAGATGAGGGGATTTTATATGAATGAATCGGTTTTTTACCGATGCAAAGAAGCTACGCAATCGATGCATCGCGAGTTCAACCCAAACTGTAGCCGATGTGCACTCTTTCAACCGGTGCACTCGCATCTTGAACGTTTATGCCGGTGCACCGATGCGAATCGGTGAATCTTAACATCTCTAACACACACACATTAAGACACACACACACAAATACCACCCTTCCACCCCATTAACAAACAGCACATGCTGTCCTATATGCGAGCAGCCATAATCTCACAAACGCTGATCTGATTATATATTTCAATCAGAGACACAAATCTAATCATTTCTGTCTGCATCTGATGTGGCGAAATGTATCCACGTGTTCATATCTTACCATCTCGATTATTATAGCTCTATATTTAGTAGCTTAATCACTAGATCAACTTCAATTGGTCCAAAATAAAGCTGCAAGGCTTTTAGCTGGATGGTTAGAAGAAAACACATTACTCCAATTTTAATTTCCCTTCATTGGCTTCCTGTTGCTTCAAAGATATTCTTATAGGTATTAAATACATTGGCTTTATACTTCTGATCTACTTAGCCCATATGTGCCATGACAAGCACTTAAATAGACAGAAAAAGCTCTTTTCACATGTTTTAAATTTAGATTTCACACCAAAGGTGATTTTCATGTGCTCTCATCACACCAAAACTGTGTTTTATCGCCTGAAAAAAGGTGGTGGTGGAAAAGAGGTTGATAGCCGATAAAGTGTATTTAGGCTATAACTTTTTTAAGTTACGTACCAGGTCAATGAAGTCACATCTTAAAAAAAACACATCTGGGAAATTCAACATATCTGAAGATCTGTTATAAAGAAGGAGAAAGTCCGTGAGAGAGAAGATGAGAAACTATTTTCAGCCTCCAGACAGATCTACAAACACAAGAAATATGCAGTTTCTTTTATCGCTCTTACAAGTCACTGAGTTTATACTGAGCTCAAATCCAGGCTCTTTTCAGACTGCTATTTATAGGACTGCACTGGTAAAAGACATAAGGCTAGTCTTTAATTATCACTTAAAGAAAAAACATCAACCCTAAAACTTTATTTTTCTTCAATTAGACAACTGACAAAAGTCAGATTTTGCATTGCGT